TATTAGAACAATGGACTTGATCCTATATTGCGGATTTGTTATGATATGACTATCCTATAGATAAGATCCTGAGTTGAAGTCACATAATTGTTTATACAGACTGGTCTTACAGTTACAGTCAGTAGCGTGTTTTCTCAAGACCTTTGAATTTCGGATTTTGGCAGGGAATAAGATGATATATCTGATTTAAAAACGTAGATGTTTCTTAGAGCGATCACTCCAGCAAGTAAGAGCCACGGCATTACATTAAAGGTTCCTACCCTTATATTTTTGACCTTATCAGAGTGTTATACGTTTGACTTAATTTTTCTTAGTTATTATTTGTTTAGCCTCAAGGACCGTTTAGTGAGGAACCAATCCTACAACAAGGTGACATAAGTGTGATGTGCACGACGTGAAATATCCCTTGTATTTCTTTCGACTGAGCAGGAAAAACTGTGAGGAAAAAGAAGGGGATTTTGAAGATAGGGACAAACTGGATCTTTGTGATGTACCAATTTTCCACCGAATAACCATCTTTTGGAACTCACTCCTGGCATCGCGCTATTTAAAAAGGACAGTGGTATTTTTCCTCGCTGAGTAAATTTCATTGTTTTGATCGTTCATTACGTATCAAGACTACTGTTTTCACTTTAACTGAATTTATTTCGGTTAAAGTATTCGACTAGTAGACTGTTTTTACCGTTTTCTCAATTAGTTTTGTCGTTGGTACTCTTGAGTACCTCATTTTCAATTGTATCTGCTAATACTTTTGGTCCTAACAATCTACAGTTCTTTACTTTTTGGTCATTGATCATTTTTTTGGTTTCTAAGTATCAACGCATCTCGTTCCTTTTTGAAAAGGACTCCTTTTAAATGACCGGACAGTGTAAAACAAGCAGTTGCCAACGACCGGGTTGTCGTTATTCCGTTGAGAGCGGCATGCAGTGCGACGATTGCAAAAGCTGGTACCACGAAGTTTGCACGAACTTAACGCCTGCGGCTTTCAAACGGTTTGGTAAGAAGGGTTGCGTATGGCTTTGTCAACAGTGCTGTTCGGATGCAAACAGCCTGTTAACCGAGGCCATCTCACTGGTTGATGCTGTAAAGAAGTGTTTTAGCAAGCATAGTCGGAACACGTCAAACAGTACTCGATATGTCGACACACAAATCGACATGAAGCAAACTAAGGTTAGTTCGATAGTAGATGACTCACGCCCGTCAAAGAAGGAAAAGCAGTCTCTAAAGGGGCCTGCCTTAAACAAAAGCTCAAGAAAAGTAGGGTCTTCTGTTCCCCGTCTCCTAGATGGGGTCCAACAGGAAACACCTGGAAGCCGCAATCGCAAGGCTCGATCGGTTTCAAGCGGTAAACATAACCTGACCTCTCAGGTCGTCGACAACTTTCCAGAATCCAACACTAGGTTTGACGCAACTGTTGTTGCTTCTGCCAGCACCGTTGACGAGTGGGTACAGGTTGTAAGGAAGAAAAAAAGTAGCCATATAAAAGGTAGTCCTCTCCCCCCCGAAAGTAGTCGTAAAATCAAAAGCTGATCATAGCGACAGATCAGCTATTTTTCATAGATACAAGGAGAGCGAGAGCTCTGAACCTAAAGCTCGTTTTGAGCATGACATTGTGCTGATTAAGCAGCTGCTTAATCAACTCATGCCTCAAAATATCACCGGGGTCACCTTGCTAAAGGTGTACAGACTAGGGAGTCTAACGGACTCGAAACCAAATCATTCCAGACTGCTTAAAGTAGTCTTCAACTCTTCGAACGAACGTGACCTAATTCTACAAAATGAACACAAATTAAAGGGTTCAGGAGTTTTTATCCGAAAGGACTTGCCGTTGGCAGACCATATAAAAAGACGGGAAGCCGAAAAAGAACTACAACTTAGGTTAGACGCTGGCGAAAAGGACCTGAAAATTGTAAATTTTCGGATTGTAAGGCTTCGACAGAGAATGATGCCGAAGTTACTCTGGGTGAGGCACGAAGGCACTTAAATAGGCTTCGGATCTGCTACACAAATGCCCGGAGCTTACTTAATAAGCGATCGGTACCAGGTGTACAGATTGACTCTACAAAGCCAGACATAATCGCAGTTACAGAAACCTGGCTGACACAGGCTACAGATAGTATGGAACTTGATTTCGAGGGTTTTACGTTAGTAAGAGCCGACAGAATACAAAAGCGTAAAGGAGGGGGAGTAGCTCTATTCATTAGGAATGCTATCTTATTTGCCATTATCGATAGTGTATCCCGTGAGAGTGGGACGTGTGAATTAGTTAGCTGCCGCTTGAAATGCAAGTGACAAGAGCTGCTGATTGGTTTGGTCTATCGCAGTCCAAGCTGTGAGGCAAATGAGATACTGCTAAGCAGTCTCAATACTTGGTCACAAAGTGGTCGATGTCTAATCCTAGGGGACATTAATGCACCTATGGTAGACTGAGTAAATCTGCGAACCGAATCGTCAGAAAATTCCTTCGAGCAGGAACTAGTTGATGCGGTTATCACATGTGCTCTAGTAAAACATGTGAAAGAAGCGACTAGGTACGACCCGGACACTGAATCATCCTTATTAGATCTCATACTGACTCACTATGAGGATGACGTCACGAACCTCCATTACATGCCCTTCGCTATGTAAAAGTGATCACGCAGTTTTAATTTTCGACTTGCATATAACTGTCAGTCACGAGCACGCGTCAGCCCAATCCAGACCTAACGTCTGGAAAGCAAATATACCAGATATCATGCACTTAGCATCGTTAGTAGATTGGACAATAGACCTAGAGTCCTCAGTTGAAATGGCCTGGGACACATTTCGAAATTCATACTTAAAAGTTACCATACCCCACATCCCTTGGACTATACCAAGGGGGCCGAGGAACTCTCGACCATGGTTCAGTAGGGAGGTTCGCATCATTCTCCGTAAGAGAAGAAAAATGTGGGATAGATTTGGGTTACTGGGGACCGATGAGACAAAATCTCAGTATCAAAAAGCTCGGAATACCTGTGCCTCGACCCTCCGTAATTCTAGAAAGTTGTACGAAGAAAAGATTGTTAAGGAATCCATAGAATGTCCTAAAGGTTTATATTCCTATATAAACGAAAGGACAAAGAGAAGAGGAAATATTCTTGCTCTATGGGGAGACAATACTGCCGCATCATTAGTTGAGGACGACTTTGGTAAGGCTCAAGTGTTCTCGAACTACTTTAACAATGTATATACCATAGAAGCACCCTCCCCGTATGTTCATACAGACCCCCCACACATACACTGGATAGCGTGACCATTAAAGAACTTGATGTCTTTGGTCTACTAAATAAGCTTAACATAGGTAAATTCACGGGGCTACTGAAGGAACTATCTAACTTCGTTGCGAACCCTTTAAATATATGCTTTAACCTATCCGTAACGCAGGGTTGTTTACCCAAAGACTGGAAGGACGCCATAGTAAGTCTTGTCTTCAAAACAGGTACGAAACACAAACCTGAGAATTACCACCCCGTTAGCCTAACTAGTGTGGTTGTAAAAATATTAGAAAAGATTATTTGAAAGATGCTGTTTAAGTATCTCGATAAAGACCGGATCATTTCGGAGAAGCAGTACGGTTTCAGAATAGGTTACTCTTGTTTCACTAACTTATTAGTGGCTCGTGAAAGCTGGTGCCCTCTTAAGGACCAAAAGCTACCTGTAGATGTCGCCTTCATTGATTACAGCAAAGCTTTTGACAAAGTTCCGCACAACCGGCTGTTGTATAAGTTAAGAAATGTCGGGATTGGAGGCAATCTATTTATGTGAATAAAAGACTTCTTAGTTGGGCGTCAACAAAGAGTACGTGTGAACTCAAAAGTATCTATCTGGGGAACCGTGTTTAGTGGAGTGCCTCAGGGTACAGTTTGGGGCCAGTGCTATTCCTCTTGTATGTAAATGACCTTCCTCGTCTCCTATCATCATCCGTCTTTCTATATGCCGACGATGTCAAGATATGGAGAACGATAGGATGTAAGGATGATAGCTTAGAACTCCAAAATGACCAGAAGAAATTATCTGAATGGTCTCAAACCTGGCAGTTGCCGATAAATACTTCCAAGTGTGTTGTGATGCATATCGGTCATTAAGGTACAGATACATACACGATGAATAACACTGAGCTACCTGTCGTCCAGACATATAATGACTTGCGAGTCATCGTCAGCCAAGACCTAAAGACTACTGCACACTGCCGGGCAATAGCCGCCAAAGGTTTTAGAACGTTATGGTCAATACGTAGGGCTTTTAGTCATGTCGACGCTAAAAAGTTTTCGACTTTGTATACAGTGTTCGTACGTCCTAAACTTGAGTGCTGCATACAAGCGGCTAGCCCCTGCTTAATAAAAGACAGTGATCTTCTGGAAAGGTTCAGAGAACGGCAACTAAGCTGACCCTCGGAACAGCGATGCTTCCGTATGATGCTCGACTGGCCAAGCTAAACCTTTTCCCGTTGTCATATCGCAGAACTAGAGGCGACTTGATTACAGTCTACAAATTGCTTAGTGATAAATTTGCATCTAACACGCCCTCATTTTTCTTGTCTTCCAAAACAGAGAATTTACGAGGACACTCCAAAATGTTCACAACCCCAGAACAAAATACTTGTCAGCTGACTATCGACTTTCCCATCGAATCATCAACGAGCGGAATTCATTACCTCAGCATGTGGTTGAGGCTCCATCTGTCGATTCTTCCAAAAGAAAGTTGGATCAACTGAGGGATCACCATTGCCAGGACTAACACAGGCCATCAGGCCTCCTGTCCTTCCCAAACTGAAACTGGATGAGGTAGTATCCACACTCACTTGATTCATTCAAAGGAGATTCAATTACAAACGGAAATGTAATGGATAATTATTTACAATAGCCTTCGAACTTCTCTTTTAAAGCACGCATCTGGATATGAGATATAGTGAAGGTCCAAAACTTTGCTTTTAGTACATCGATTGCTTGCCTGAAGGTCAAATACACGTAAACACCGCGATGAACTGGGTCTTGGTTAGTTTCGTGATCGTGTTTGTGAAGCTTGGTATGCATTGTCATCATTTTACAACTAATAACGCATTCTCGAAGCCCTATCTTGTGACGATTTTGACGTCAGGCCGGTTACTTACTCTTCAGGCGAAGCAGTTCTCTCCACTGAAACCGTAATTTTAATTGAAGGTGAAGCCAAATGTAAAGAAAAAGGAGTAAGACTTCATATTATCTGATGATTGTTTACAGTCATCAAATTTGTACGCCGAGTTAAATGGAGTCCTTCAACCAGTTGCCCGTCATATTGAAACTGACAATTTTCAAGTAAATTCCTAACACTTTGTTTATAATATTAACTTGATTACGCTAGGTATCGTTCGTCTTTAATCACAAAGATGTGCCTAAAGGAGAATATACTGTCCGGTTTTACAATGAAAAAGGTGTAACGGCTTATCTGAGATCTTCGAGAGGTGGTTTTGTATCCGGCGTACCTCCTGTCTTCACAGTCACCGTTCGACATAAGGTAATAAAGTATTCACTAATACTTTATTTTGTAGGGAATCTCATTCAAACCTGTTGTTTATTCCGAAACAGTGGCACTATTAACGATTATGTTGATAGCATTTGGAGCTATAATTACGAAAAACAAATTCTAGAGCTATTTTTGACACATTAAGTATTTCATTATACATGTACATTGTTTTTCCTACCAAACAGCCATTGTATAGTACTTATAAACTTTCATTTATAAATGTTGCTGGATTTCTTGGATTAGTTATGAGGTGTAAAAACAACAGCTGAGTAGAGGGTTAGTAGTATTAATGTGGCCATTTATTTATTTTATTTGAGCATATAAATATTTGTACAAAGGGGAACTGGATACATATGCGCCACACAAGTCACTTTATTTGTGTGTGTGAGTTTTGATACTGCCCGGGTGCCCAGACCGAAGCAGGTGGTTTTCTTAGGGGGCCACACCCGGAGTTGTCGACCTAAAGGTCTAATCCGTAAGGCAGTTGAGCGACGTCAGGAGATGCAGTGCCATGGTAGACGGTGACCAACGATTGTTTCATACGCCATTTGTTCCCTCAAGATCCTGGAGTCCATATGACCATTGGTTTGGAATCAGGGCTTTTCGATCTCCACCCCCTAGGTAGATTCTCCATATCCATCAACCGGGTTAAAGCGCCTGACATTCGCTTTTCGTCCTCTCGATTTCATAAAGAACACTTGTGGTGCGATAAGGCAGTGAGTAGGATTTCCCTGACAGTGGTTGTGTACTTGTGGCCATGTGAGAGCATTTCGCAAGGGAGAGCTAAATCCTTCCACCCTCAGTCGTACCAGGGCTAATGTGGTCATATAGACTTCAAGTGGATCACTGTAAAAATCATCTTGTCACATTGACTTTGGGGATTATTTTAGAGGGTTTTATTCCCAGATCTTTTTGTAATTACAGTATACCAGACTGGATTTCGTGGAAATCTCAAAAATGTACTAAATTCTTGTAGATGTAAATCTTCAACTAAATTGGTAAATAGATATATTCTGAATCACCATCTATTTTGGCGTACTCTAATGCATTGTGTAGAAGTAGGTCGTATATGTAACGTTAGTATCTAAACCAAAATGTTACAACAATTAATATAGTCATCAACTGCTTCTGTAAATCTTGTTGTGTTTCACTAAACGGACTTTACAGTCATTAAGTTCAAGAAAGCCACAGTTAGTGAAGTGCGTTAATCTATTTACTTGGTACTTTTATGAATTCTATGGCATATACGTAGAGGCGGCTTCGTTCTTTACGATAAAATTATCTTCAGCTTCGTAAGTTCTCTTCATCACTGTTTGACAAAATGCATTGAATGCTTGTTTTTCCCTTGTAATTTATATCCAAGAAGCTAAATAGGTTGGTGAACGTTTAAAAAGCCTGCGAACTACGTATCAATCAATTTAGAAGTTAACAGCCAATTAAATTTATACTTGTTAAAAATCGATGTGAAGAACGGGTTTTTATTAAGTGCAGTTGTCAGTTCTTTTCATGCTTTAGTATTGTCTTTTCAGTAGTCGCAAATACGGTCCGTTAGTTAGTTAAAACGTCTCTGACTTGAACATTCAGTGGTATGGGTTTGCATCCCACAGAAAGCACAAATCCCCTGAATATCCTAGTTGCGTCGTACTGATAAGCGTTAACAGTTCCGAAGTATCTTCTAGACCAGATAAGCTGTTGTGAATTTCTGATACGAAATTATGTTAGGGTAGTAAAGTGTTTTAAAATTACGTTATCCTATCGTTATCCGAGCTAATTGTGCTTGTTTAGTGTATTCTGTTGGGAAAACAACTGAATCATTTGTATTATGTATATGTGCAATGATATGAAGCAGTGATGTTGTAATCATAACTTTTCTATCAATACTTGGAACTGGGAGCTATTGTGACTTTTAGGACGAAAAATAAGAACGAGAGAAATGGTACAAATGAATACTTTAATGGCCCTACAAAATGTGTTCATGAAAGACACTCATTTACATACATATGATTCTGCACACACTTGATGATTAGTTGGTAATATCACTTTGGAATAAATCAATTATATAAGTCAGTGATGAATTATATTTCACAGCGAAGTCAGTTATTTTATCACCCGCGGATTCTATGAGCATTGGGTTATTGATTAGTTACTGGTCCAATTTATTGATCGGCCTAAACATTTAAAAGGATATTTAAGTTACTATTCCGGATGTCGTCCAATTAGTTGTTAAAAAATAAGTCAGCCTGCTTTTACAGTCTTGTTCTCTTCCTCCCATCAACAAAGCAGCCACGTTCCGCCGCATTGTGTCAGGTAGAGAAATATCACAGTCTTCGCAAACAGTCGTATCAGAGTTAGTAATTAGCGTCTAGTTTCCAGTCACAAGCTTAACAGTTTAGTTACATTTCAAGACCTAACAATCACACAAGAAGTCCATGAATTTACAGCAAAAACATACTGACTCAACACTGAATTGATGTTGAGAACCTGGAACAAACGATGTACTCTTCACTCCTTGAGTTGAAACTTATTTTAATGGTGAGCAGAGTAGTATTGCTAGTCCAATGACTTGTGTGACGCATATGTATTCGGTTCCTACTTGTACCAGTTTTTATGCGTTTAAATAATAGAAATAAGTATGGGAACTCTAGCCAATACGTTATTCTAACATATCTTGTACTCTGTTTGTCTGCCAATAATTAACTATACAATAAGTTTTTAGTGTTTTGACCAAATCTAACCTGGTAATATGTTCCATTATTCATTCCTATTTAATTTATTATATAATTTTACTGATGAAAGAACTGAAATATTTGGTTTTGATTTATCTAATGAGTCACACACAGTATTGTACTTATTTATTGTTTCTAGTAAGACGGTCTTATGATTCAACATTCCGGTCGGTGATTTTAAAACCTATCAAGTTTTGAATGGAGTAGATAGTTCCAAAGATTTAAGATAACTATCCACAAGTATATTTTGTGTAACATTAAAATATCCGTCTACCAATAGCCTTCAAAGGTCTAGGAAATAGTAGGAAACATATAATCTACACAAATGGACAAACCGAAAACGGGAATGCCGAGTAACCATGAAAACGCATAAAATTTTCATATACCGTTGCCTTTTTTCGATATTGGCAAAATAAATGAAGGTAAAGGAGGATTAGTAGAAGAAATTACATCTGTTATAGGTTTCATTACAGAAGTATCAACAGCAGAAAAAGCTTGTAACTCCTCTGGAGTGTCCAATTGCTTATCGTGCTTAAAGACAGATTTAATGTTTTTAAACTTTATCAGATTGAGTGTAAAACAATTCGACAATGACTAAATCTCCCTATTTACTAAAATCCCATTTATTTAAAAGCAATCAGAAGAGGAAGAAACAGGTGTACATTCAGTCATGCAAAAAATACTTTTCTTCAAAAATAACTTATAACTGTTATATCCCTATAAGAATAATGAATGGTAACTTTGGGATCCATTTATGAACTAATACTATGAGTATATTTTTATCGTATGATTGTTATGTAACTAAACTATTCATATTCATGTCCCTCTAATTATGAGCTTCATTTCGACCCATAAACGATTATTATACGATTTACCATCCTTGAGTTATGGCCTGTCTATTAATCACTACCTCCCACATTCACAGCCACATTTGGCTAAATCTTGTACAAACGTTATTTTCTATTTTATGCTACGTTGTGGTTTGTTTGATTGGTAATATAAACCCCATATGGTTAAAATACAGGATTCATATTGCAGAGGCTTAGATTTGTGCTCTGGACTTAACTGGTTGGGCTAGACAGGAAGCAGGACCAATAAGTACTCTCGGCTGTTCTCACGTGTATTATGCGTCACTGGTTCGATCGATAATTCGCTGCTCTTTGATTGGCGGTATCGTTGCGTTATACAATAAACAAGGCACACAGGTTCATAAGTTATAACAATAACTTTTAGATGATATTGTAGTCGATTCAGTGTAATTCACCTCCTTAATGAGAATAATGAAACACTTATCTTCCATATCTGTTTAAAAACGTGAAACTTATAATCCAGAAAAGTATTTCGAAATAATCATGTGGTTACTTATGAGTAGTTAAATGTTTTTTTATGAAAAAGTTCACTTATCAGCATGTTCAATATGGACGTTTGACTTCCAGATGTTGGTGAATTTGCTAAGATCTCATTTTTGGAGGCTGGAAATATATGCCAAATAAATAATCCGATGAAAAAATCTGCTTATTTTCTAGTAGGCAAACTTATGTTGATTGGAATTTATAACATGAAATTAGTATTAATGGATAAAACAAATCAATAAATGAATCGTAAGATTTTGATGGAGTTTTGTTCTCTGAGTTGGATCGTTTGGTCGTGGAGCTTTCATCGTTCTTCTGAACGACATCATCAGCACACCATCTCAGAATCATAGGATCACCTATGATGTATAAGTGACTAATAGTCAAAGACATAACGACAAAGTCAAATATTATCGCGTAATTATTCAAGTGCATCAATGAAAGTCCCTGTTAAAAAGTATTATCAGTAATAGAATTAATGTAATTTATAAACTTTGATTAAGAATATACATATTTTGTTATTTATTAATTGAATTCATGAATCAGTTGAAACTAGACCACCATGGAAAACCTGGCAGCACTGGATGGCTGTTTCGTCCTAGTATGTTATGTTGTTTATTAACAGCGAACTCAAATTATACGTCGTTAACATGACATTAAAAAGCCATTCATTGAATTTTATGTTGAAGGTTAAACATGATGTTAAAAATTCATCTCATGGCAATGTAGAATTGATCAGTCAATGTAACAGTGTTGTTTTTTTGCAACAACAATGAAAACTATTGGTTAAGTAGTATATAAATATAATTTTATGTGAAATTTTATTTGAATCACTACTCACATCTCCTGGGATCACCGGGTTAGTAATAGTGAGGTTAGACTCATAGTATTAGGGAATGATGGTTAATCAGTTGATGAGGTTGTGAATCGTCATCGAATTAGATGGTTGGGCCACGTGTTACGTATGCCCGAACACCGGTGTTGGAGATGATTGGAAGAAAGTTAGGGACGGCCAAACCAAGAAGTGGCATCAGTGCTTGAAGTCA